ATCGCAGTGCTCATAGCGAACGCCATATCGCAGCTGTTGCAGCCATCCATATACGACAGCATCATCCAGATCAAGAAGCTGCCGTACCTGCCGGATATACTTACGTCCACAAGTCAGTCCTGGCAGCACGCCCCCTGTTGGTCGCCGGTGTTTTCGGGCCGTTCATTCCTTGGACTGCCGTGTTTGAAATATGAACTGATGTACTGCGTTTCTTATGTGCTTTTTAATACTGGTTTAAGCCCACGAAATACGGTGTTGTGATGCTGCGGCCACGTTAAGCACCTCAAGAACAGAGCTGGAATTAACCCCTGCTGAGCTGTGGCTTGCAGTCGTAAATTTCACTGAGCCATTGGATCCCACGTCACACCACCATTGCGCCTGTCTTCTGGAGCGCCAACAGCCCAGCTGCGGGTGCGAGGAACAGAGCTGTACTGGCGTGCGCGAAAAGACCCTCGTTTTCCGGGGCTCTGGCAGTTTTTTCATTTCCTCGGAGCTTCTGGCAAGGTGTTTTAATGCTGTAATATCGAATCATGTGGAATCGCATTCTTCCAAAACCATGGCAGGTATTCCCGGATGCATGTGACCCAACGTGACGCAAACTTTGCATTCGGCCTGAGCATCGGTAGACTTACGTTTAGTTGCATTATTTCATGTTGTTAAAAAGTCACTATCATGATACGGATCGAAAAAATGTCAACTAAAATGATCGTGCTTAATTAGAGATGAAATGTTATCAGACAGTCTTCCTCAGAAATTGTGACTTGTTGCGAGGAAAAAAGGGAATGTTCTACGTTTGAAGATAATGAAGTAAGCATCAGCTATGGTGAAATAAGATCACTTGTACTTTTGTAATGCTCCTTAGTGAAAAAGAGTGCTCTAGACGATGCATTTTCTCAATTTAGTAAATATGTTTCTCATTGTGTCATTGTATGATAACGACGTCGTACGCTGTGTAACATTGATTGAAAGCCAATCGACAGCCGTTATATCTGGAAATCGTACTCCTGAACGTCAGATATGAATGACCCGACAACCATATTTATATTAGCCCCGATCGTCGCATGGCTAGTAGAATGGCAGGATTTGAATGACGTTACTATGACGTCATGGATATCTGGATGACCTTGAAATAGTCTCCCCGAAATAATCTGCACATCTTCGCGGGCATATAGCTCAGAAACTATAGAGGCTTAGGTCATAATTACAGGGCTGTGAACTGCACCGAATGATCTCCAATATGGCCATTTCAATTGAAAACCCCATACAAACGTGGAACACTCACTTAAACCATCGATTGCTTCAAACAGTGCCCCAGTACGCCGGTGTGCGGTGGTCCTGCAAACTGCGTCGCGCTGGGCAGCCAGTGGCTCGGTGACCTCTGACCGTCCGGAGCCGGTCGTTCCGGCCGTGTCGCCGCCGCCGTCGGCCCCCGCGGTCGTCGTCGGGCGGTGGCGTCGGGGCGGGGCGACCACTCGTGCGACCAAATTGGAGAAGTAGGTCACGCGATCATTCGCTGAGCAACGGAGCGCCGCGGCGCGCTCCTGAAGAGAAATTGCTCTATTTAAGACGCGCTATGACCGGTGTCATGTAAAATTGAAAACGTGACAAATGAGTGGTTCGGTCCTACGCCCCTTTCGCGACTGATAATTTATTGGCAGTAATGTTGCTCGTGTGGAAGTCGAGTTCTGCTCGTTTTAATTCATGTTTTGGCTAACTGCGCAACCTATGTTCATGGGCTGAATATGGGGCCGGAGCTTTAGTGACGAGGTGCGAATGTTGTATCAATGACGTCACCAAGGGAATGTGCTCAGGCTTTGTCTGTAAACCACATTATATGTCATGGGCATTACTGGCCGATACGCCATGCACTATTCGCTCCGCTTGAAAACACTTATGCACGCATGTTTGGCGCAAAATAGGCTTGAATCAATGTACATATTCCGTATGTTTCGAGGGAACTGAGAATGTGTGAGTAATTTTACCCCGCAGGCTGAACCCACATAGAGTTTTACAGCCCTTAGACTTTCCCAAGCAGTTCAAAAACATACAGTTTGCAACACTTGGAGCAAGTTTGCTATATCAAACCACTAACACGGATTAGTATAGGAAACAGCATTAAGATGAGGAGAACTTGCGTCCTAACATATGCAGTCATCACCATCTAAAGATGCCGCCGCGGCGTGATGACCGAAGTTGGTAGCAAGCTTCTGGGCGTGTTTTTCATGCCGCCGTCGTCCTCTGGCTGCAGACGCCTACTCCATCTACGTGGAGGACATCATGGTGCGGGAGGTGCAGTACATCTGGCACGGCATCAGCCACCGACAGCTGCGGCAGGTGCTGCGAGAAAACAAGAAGCTCTCCAGCGTGCCGCTGGTCGACTCTCATGGTGAGTGACGTCACGTGGTCATGTGGTAGTGCTAGTTAGCATTTTGGGAAACCCCACCACGCAGGTACTTGTTCCTCTGGACCGTATCATACAGTGCACCTCACAGTGACAGCTAGTGTTCGGTTTCTCAACCTGTCGCATCTATGCCATCCTGCGGTCTATGCAACTTCCCTGCGTTGTAGTCATGCTGGAGAGTGCGTGGTTACCATGCAGACATTCTCAGAACCCGAAACGAAATGGGCTGATCGCATTGCCCAGTTGTGTTATGACTGGTAAGGATCACCAACCCAATTTTCAGTGCTGTGTGGCAGTTGTCCAGTTGTACTACATGATCAGGCCTTCCAGGCTTTGTCAGGTCGGCAGCAAGGTGCGGGTAAAAAGAGCGTAAAGTTGGTGCTTCTTGTGCGCAACATCTGACGACTGCGAAATCCGCTGCGGATTCTGCAGCAGTCAACATAGTGTCAACGTGCCTTACGACCGTGGGTGAGTCTGGTGTCAGGCTGTACTCCACCCGGCATGCTGTCGGTCGGGACTGTTGTCAGAAGGCACCGGGACTGGTGCCAGATTGGGTCTGGACGGGTTTGGTGTCAGCCAGTGTCAGAACGGGACTAGTGATAGTTGTGCGCTGACGGGCCTGATGCCAGACTGTGTCCGACTGGGACTTGTGACAGTCTGTTGCGGGGGTGCTCAGGATATACACTGAGCGGACGGGGCCCGGCCGGGACCGGTGACTGTGTCTGTGTCGAGCCGACTGTGGTGTCCGGCGGGACCGGTGACTGTCTGCGTCGAGCCGACTGTGTGCCCGGCGGGGACCGGTGACTGTGTCTGTGTCGAGCCGACTGTGGTGTCCGGCCGGGACCGGTGACTCTGCGTCGAGCCGACTGTGTGCCCGGCCGGGACCGGTGACTGTGTCTGTGTCGAGCCAGCAGCGGTGTCCGGGTGGCGACCGCCGGCTCGCGTCCCAGTCCGGACGAAGGCAGGTCTTGCCTCGGTACTGCAGTTCACGCCCCCACGCTTTCCACGCTCACACTCTTTTCCTCACTTCAGCCTGTGACACTGTTTCCCCTGAATTGCTGGTCGGGCTAACAGAAGCCCTGTAAGCCAGGCATCCCAGTAACTCATAAGCTGGCATATTTAATCAGCTAGAGCCCAACGGCTTATGTATGTGTGTTGACGCTGCGGTGCTCGTTTGGGCTTCGTGGCATTCAGCTCTCTAACATGCTTCTTTCTGGTAAAGTCACAAAAGACAGCTGCGAGCATGCGGCTAAGTGACTGATTAAAAAGGTTATTGATAAACATGAGTGCTGAGCAAGGACGCAGGAACGGGGGGGGGGGAGGTCGCCCCCTCTTCCCTGAACTTGAAAGCTGGGGGCGGTACCCTCTCACATCCTGGAGGGCGTGTGAAAGGTCTATTTTGGTTTGATAAGAGTCCTTTTTGAACCGTAAATGAATTATCTAATCCTATAAAAGTATATTCTGAGCTGTCAATGTCTTATTCTGACGTGTTAAGAGGTATCCTCCTGGTGTCCGTCCCGGTGGCTCAGTTGGTTACAGCGCCTGCCGTCCGATCCACCCGCCCGTGGCGGGTTGGGTTCGAGTCGCTTTAGGGCGCCCGTTATTTGCCCCTGACAGGTATGGCCTGCGGCCGGTGGCAGCGGTTGCGCTAAAGGTCAGTTGACGTCAAAGGGCGGAACGGACCGTGCCGAGCATTGCGGCACGTTAAGCTTTCGCCACTAAATTCTGCCGTTGCCTGGAATTGCGCGATCGGATGGTGGGGGTCATGGCTCACACAACAAGCACTGCTTACCGTGAGCGCTGATCCCAGAAATCCATCATTCAAAGGGTTCGGATCAGATTCTTTTTTTTAAAATCTGACAAAGAGAGGGCGATTCTGAACCTGTAGAGAACCCATTCTGACTTGTAGAAGGCCCATCATTGTCTGTGGACGGCCCATTCCGACCTGAAGAAGGCCATTCTGATCTGTGGACGGCCAATTGTTGACAGTGGAACGGCCATTCTGTTCCGTGGAAGGCCCATTTGGCTTGAAGAGGACCCATCATGATCTGCAGAAGAACCATGATGACCTGTGGAGGTTTCAGTATTGACAGGCGAGGGCCAACTTTGGCATGGAGAACGCTCAGTCTGGCCTGCAGCCTGCAGAGGGCCCACTCTGATCGATAGGGAAAGGGGTTGTGGCCTGACCAGTAAAGGGCCTATTGTTCACTGTGTAGAGCTCACTTAAGCCTGTAGAGCGCCCATTTTTAACTGTGGAGAGTCCACGCTGGCTTGTAGAGGGCCCATTGCCAACCAACGTGCTCTTATTCTGGACTATACAAGGCCCGTTCCGATCTGCGGACGGCGAATTTTGATCTGTTTAGGCCCCTTTGACCTGTATAGAGCCCATTCAGGCTTATAGGGGCCCACTTTCTAATCTCAGGGGCCCATTTTGACATTTTGGAGTTCTCCACTTCAACTTGAACATAGCTACCACACCCTTTGTGCTGAGTAAGTCTTTGTACATTTTGAATTATGGTTATGGGCGTGGTTACGTGGTTACAGAAAAAGAAAGTCATACCCGGTGTATTGTATGGTTACGTCATTCAGTGGTAATCCGCATAGACTATATAGTTTTTTCGATGATGGATTAAAATATTGCCGGCTTACATGTCCGGGAAGCTTCTGTGGGCATTAGGTAGAACTGATGGATACCACATCTATCAATATTTGCCGACATACGTGTCTATTGACGGGGCAACACGAGAAGAGTAGCTGGAAGACGAGGATCATCGCCGGGCTGCCGCAGAGAAGCTCCGTTATCGCCGTCCTACAGACCTGTTTACCGGAGTTCAGCGGACACGATTCCACCCGAGCCCTTCTCTAATCGCATCCGTTGTTGCTGCGGTGACCGGGCCGCCGATTTGAAACTGGAGTCGAGCCGGGAGTCAATGCGACCCCCGAAGCTGCCGCGCGCTCTGAACCCCGCGGGCGTTTCAGACTCGATGGTGCTGCTGGGTAGCATCAAGCGGAAACACCTGGTGCTGCTCCTGGAGAAGCACCTCGGACGCGACCGACGCATGGAGGTGGTCACGCGATGGCAGCGAGCGGCGCAAAAGTGAGACGGCTACCCGCCTTTGTATGCGATTTATTACGTCACGCTGGCGGGGCAGTGCGTCCCACGCGTTGTGCGCGCTTACCGTGGTATTCCAGGCCTAATGGTGGCAGCCGACGAAGTGTTTAGGAACTGTTTGGCCGTCGCCTTCAGCACATCTTATGAACCTAAAATTGTCATGGGAGATCATCCTGTCAATCTCAGCTGAGTGTCGGTGACCTCGTTTTCCGCTGCAACACACGCCCGTCCAATCGCTGTGCAGCAGCTTCCAAGGGGATGCCAGCGTGTCACGGAGGCGGTGGGTCCATGCGCTCGGCCGTCCCCGGCTGGGCCCCGGTCCAATATGTCGGGTCTGTAGATCTCCCGTGGCGCCGGCGGTGTTAAGAGCCAGCGCGGCCGGCCTCACCCCGGCAGATTCAGGCGCCCGTCCGGCGGCTCGTGCCCACAACTCTGTGCGGCCGACCCTACGATGCGTTCCGCGCCGTTTGCCAGCGTCTTGGGAATCCTTCCTTTGGCTTTTCTTTATGATGGGGTCGGGGAGGGACCGGGGGCGGGGGGGGGGGGGGCGTATGCTTTTGAGGTAGATTGCGGTGCCGTATTTATGGCGGCATATAGTATGTTCTGCGGGCGATTTCTGCCGTGAAACTACCGTCTTGTTATTTATTTCTACATCCTGTTCAAAAGAGTGTTTTCAGTCCGTAGGGAATAAAATGGTGCTTTAGTGTGATTTAATGGCCGCTCGTATTGTAAAATATTGTACCATTGAGAGCTAAAACTGTTATTTTCTGCATTGCCCAGGTGATTGCGCAGACAATACTAATGCATCGTTTATTACCTCGTTTATTACGATAATGCATTTGCGTACAGTAGAATGCGCGCTTTCAATGTCAAAACGGCCAAATGTGGCCAAAATGCCAACACCACGTCAATGTCAAATGCCGATGTTGAAATCAGCATTCGGCAACGTGTGATCGCAGCTTGAAGACAGACAGCAATGGAAAATAACGGTGTGGTAAATAGGCCGGCAGCAAGGTGTCACATTACGGTCGAGATCGCCGGTCTCTCATCAGTGGGCACCAACCTGCGGAGCACCACCCACGCATCATCACCCCACGAGCACTGCTTCCCGTTTCCTGAGCATCGGTCCTCAGCTGCTGAGCGCCACTTGCTAGCCTCTGAACTGCTGCCCTCCCCTGAGCGTCATTCGCCAGGCTCTGTAACGGCTGCCCTGCCCTGATCAGCACTCCCCCTCCCCTGAGCGTCGCCGCCGCTGGGGCTGAGCGTCGTCCGGGCCGGCAGGGTGCGCCTGTCGCGGCCCAACCGCAGCTGGAAGGACCTGGTGGCGCTGGCCACGGCTGAACACCGGGAGGAGCAGCGCCGCCAGCAGGAGGGCGGCGACGCGCCGCCCGACGAGCCCGTGGTGCAGGTGTCCGGCGCGCGCCTGGCCGCCGCCGACGACGACGAACCGGCTCCGGCTCCGGCTCCGGCTCCGGCCCCGGCCCTGGCCCCGGCCCCGGCCCCGGCCCGGCCCCGGCCCCGGCCTCGGCCTCGGCCTCGGCTCCGGCCCCGGCCCCAGCCCTGGCCCCAGCGTCGGCTCCGGCTCCGGCGCGGTCCTCCCGGTTCGCCGTGACGCCCGTGAGGCCGACATTGCCGGAGCTGCGTATCACTCCAACAAGCCTCTCCGAGGCCGGCGACGACGAGGAGCAGGTGGGGCGCCACGATGGCTCGTCCGGCGTAGCAGCCGCCTGGAGCGGGTGGCAAGAGAACATAAATTATGTTAAGTGGGGGGGGGGTAGGGAATTGCAGGAATGCATTTCGAATCAATTTGATACCGTGCCACGTCATTGAGATAATGTTTATTTATCCTAGCTTGGGCTTTTCGCCTATCCGGTTATCGTGGCGCTGTAGGACATCTATTCTTAGCATATCGTCTTCTCTCGTTAGTGGAGAGCATGGATGATGGCCAGAACAGATGAAGATAAAACTGTGGTCGAAGGTCTGGATAGGCTGTTGTAGATTTGGTCGAAATGGACCTCCGTCCAGCACGGTGTCAGTTTTGACATCGCAACTCGCACGCTCCGGAGTGCAGTACACTGGGCCTCAGGCGCCTTAGACATGTCAACGAGGTCCTACCATGCAAATAACCCGGACCACTTACCACGCAACATCGTCACTCTCCACTGGGAACATTTTCGAAGCGTGCGTCCAGACATGGCCGGGGCCTCGCCGTCCAACATGGGCGGGTGTCATGCCTGTTCGTGTCTGCCCGAGGCCGGCGGCCCATCCGCCGTGGCACGTGCTGACCCAGAACGGAGCTCATTTGGTGCTGGCGAGTTCCTTCCGGCCATTCTCGGCCGGCGCCGCGCCGTAACCCGGCCCAGAACGACCCGCTGCAGCGCTCAGAAATAAACATTATCATCCAGCCGGGATGGGCCCGGAAATCGATCAAAATTATATTACACCTTGACTGTGACATCGGGGCGGCGCTGGCGCTCTCGGCGACACTCAGTGTCTGCCGACGGCGGCGCACGGCGGGCGGTTAGTCACAGGGGCGCAGTTCTCCACGGATTGATCGAGATTGGCTGGCGGATTTTGCACCGTCTGCGCCACCTAGCAGGAAAAACATTGGTCGAAGACCTTAGCCCTGTTCTGTAAAAAAAACTGTAACTAAAAGTCTGTTTGTGCGCGCATGCTCCTCGTGCTCCTCGTGCGCTCCTCGTGCGCTCCTCGTGTTTGCGTTTTTGAAAAATTCGCGAAATGTGTCTTTAGGTGGTAACTTATGCTTTTTATCTGGTGCTCGCTGGCGTGAACCTCATATACTGGCGCCGGTGACCAATAATCTTCAAGCCCTGCCTCAGAACCGCATGTATTACACAGCGCAGCAGCGCATGTCTGCGAAGTAATCGATCGATAACACGTGGTTGAAGTAGGTGGTGAACAACGTGATGCGGGAAACACTCTCATTCCTGTCAAGGGAAATAATGAATGACCTCGGACACGTGAAGCCACGTGACACGCCACGGACGCGTGAAGCCACGTGCCGATGCGCGGCAAAAACACTCCGACTAGCGCGATCGCGGTACCCGAATGCCGTGAGCCAGTGGAGCGGATGGGGCGGCGCAGGGCAGAGAGCCGCCCCCGCGTGCCTGCGCTGGTGTGGTTTCAATCTCCGCATTCCCCAAGAGATAAATAACCGCACACTACAGGCGGTGCTGGGCTGCCACCAATCCACTTCGTCTGGCGAGTGGGTCAGTGACACAGCTCAGTCCGGACGGTCAAAGGTCGCGTGATCGGACGTGGCTCTCATCACGCCCTTTAAGGATGATGGCGGGAGACCTGAGGGCGTCAGGTGGCAGGACGGCCCGTGCTGACAGGTCCCGTACGGACAGGGCCCGTACGGACAGGGCCCGTACGAACAGGACCCGTACGAACAAGGGCCCGTACGGACAGGGCCCGTACGAACAGGGCCCGTACCATCAGGGCCCGCGTCCACAGGGCCCGTACCGACAGGGCCCATACCGACAGGGCCCGTACCGACAGGGTCCGTACCGACAGGGCCCGCGTCGACAGGGCCCCCGTAGCAACAGGGCCCGCATCGACAGGGCTCGTACCGACAGGGCCTGTACGGACACCTCCGCCGGCATGACGCCGCTCCTATCCGGCTGCCTGTTCAGCCCGCTGACGCAGGCACGTTGCGCCATGCGTACCATGCGTACCATCGTGCTGTCCGCGGTTCGCCTGCCGTCGTCTGTGCATGGCTCCGGCCAGAGGCAGAGGAACGTCCCAAAGCGTGGATGGCCTCATCGCCTCTCGAATTAATTTTGTTGTTGATGATCACATGTACCGTCATCTGATTATTGCCGAACTTTACGATAAACAGGTGGACTTCGGCCCACCCATCTCTCGTTTGTCCGGTCCCTGTGTTCGTGCCTTTGGTGTCGATGCGCCATCCGTGTTGGGGCGCGGTGCTCCAAGCCGAGCCTTCGCGTTGCCTGACCCTTAACACGTGCCGGAGGAGGCAGTTCCGGCCTCTCGTCAGCCTCCTCGCCCACCTCGTCTGACCCCAGCACCGTGCCGCAGGCGGTGGCCGGCCTCTCGTCAGCCTCCTCGCCCACCTCGTCTGACCCCAGCACTGCGCCGCAGGCGGTGGCCGGCCTCTCGTCGGCCTCCTCGCCCACCTCGCCGCCGGATCGCCGGCCTCTGCGGCCAATCCTGAAGAAGACTGACTCGTTTAGCCTGCGCTCGGCGAAGGCCGGCTCGCACAGCTGGTTCGGGTCGTCCTACGCCACCGTCACTGGCAGCAGCGACACCAGGTGAGGCTCGCCTCCTGGTCTGGAACTGTCCTCCGAACCTACGCGGTCTTGGACCGTCTGGTGGCTTTCACGATCCTTACATAGATCACGTGCGCCGGTAAAATTTACGATTTGCCGTTTTCTAGTAATAACAGAAAATTGTGATTCTGGGATGCGTGTCTATAACCCTAAACAAATCACGAACTCCTTGAAATTGACCTATCTGTGTTTTGCCTCGGCCATGACGTCATGGACTAAACGCCTACTGTTAATAATGCATTACATAGGGCGTTCGGTAGCATCAGGCCCGCGTTGAGGCCAAAACCTGGGATATTGATGACACGATAGGAGTAAAACTTGTGTCATATATGGATATAGATGTCATACTATATCAAAATAACACCCAAACGGTCTTATTAATTGTTTGTAGCTTGTAGCGTAAACACATCAATCAAAAGTAATATCTAGATAAACTCCGACCGGGTGTGGCTAGTTTTTGCTTTAATTTTGCTTTGATTTAAAGTTTCTCTCAATGAACCGGACTGTGCATACGCCTCCAAGCAGTACAAATAGACTGGGCTCAGGCCGTGTCCGTGGGTTTGAGCTGGGACGTGCTGGCGTCTGAGTAGGCCGCGACCAACACTGGCTTGGGCAGCTTCTTGTCTGCCCCAGTCACGTAGCTCGAAGTGTTTTGATGGAGACCAAATGTCAACTTTCAAAGCTGCAGCGAAAATAGATCAAATTTCCTCACACGCGGTTGAGGAGGGGGGCGTGGCATGACCCACATGGCCATTCCTAGCTGCGTCCCTGGCTGCCCCCTCCCGTCGTTATGGCGAGACACAGGCTCTCCGACGCCCCTCCTGTCCCCCGCTGTGTGCGGTCGCTACACGTCTGTCTGCCCGTCGGTTCCGTCACGCTCCGAGCGCCCACCACGTCCGGCGCCGCTGAAATGATGGAGCGGATCGGTCGGGCCGCAGCCAATACCAACCCTGCCCCCTCCGCCGCCCGCGGCCGGGCGGCGGGCTGCACGTGCCTGTGCTGACCCCCGGCCGGCGGCCCTCAGCGGCTCGTGTCGTGTCCGGCAGGCTGAGGGCGACAGCTGAGGACGTGCTGCAGAGGGCGAGGGAGACGCGGGTGGAGGAGGCGGGGCTGGCTGAGATGGACGGCGTGCTGCCGCCGCCGCCGCAGCCGCCGCCACCGCCGGAGAAGCGGGTTACACTGGTGAGTGGCGCCCCGCCGCCGGCTGCTGTCTGCTCGCTGGGCTGGCATCTTTCAGAGTCACATGTGTTAGGACCACAGTCCGGTAATGGCTGCATGAGACCTTTCTGTTAAGCTACCATGTGTGACAGTTTGAATCTAGGCCTGTCAAGAACTTTATGCGCTGCGGGCATTTTTAGTCGCGCATTATTGTCGCCGGCTCAAGCTTATGTCAGTGCATTTCACTTATAAAAAAACAGGCTGATGCGAAACGGTGATGTGGTGTGGTACAGGTACCACCGCTTCCATCAAGCTTTTATTTTCGCGGTACTCGAGCCTCTGCACTCACAAGTGGCACCACCCTAACACTGCGGTCTGCAAGTTATTCATGGGTCCATTTTTCACCGCCGACTTCAACAGATGTGTCGGGTGTTTCGAGGACATTAGGAGCGCTGAATGTTGTAGCGCGCGTCATTACTGGCTGGCGAGTTTGTGCCACGTGCCAAACTGCCTGGTTGGTGCGGACGGCGCCGGCGCACGCCGACCGCTGCCGGCCGTGGGCTGCGCCGCTGTGCTGCTCGGCGCCCGCCGCCCGCTCTGTGACGCATGAGCCGAGCCCGGCCAGCGGCCGCCGCCGCCGCCTCCGCCGCCCCCGCCGTCCGGCCCAGGCTGCACGCTGGCTGTGTCCGGCTGGGGAGACCCGGGCCCGTATTCAGGGGCGTCACTGGGACTCACGGAAGGGAACGGTGCAGACCAGCAGGCCAGCTGGTGACTGGGTTGGTACAAGGTGTTCACACAGGGAATCACGTACCCTTTGCCATCAGGAGTGACTCGTGTGACCTTTGATGTTCCAGTCCGTGTGATCTTAAACGTGTTCATGCAGCCCTTGCAGTGTCGAACATGTCCGAGTATCCCAATTATCGTGGCTTTGGTGTGATTATTCGCATTGAAGTGGTTGGTTTCGTGGTTCCAAATATTGTGTTCCTTTGCCTTCTGGTCTTGTCTCTTCATGGAATATTCTGGCCCAGTTTTACCTATTGTCCTTTCGACCTGAGCCCAAAAACTGTGTGAGCTACTGTGCTGATTTTGTTTTGTTATTGTGCGTAACATGATGGATACCATGCTGCAGTGCAACACTTTAAAGCGCCGGGGAACACATCTCACACGCCAGGCGTAAGATGAAAGCGAGCTGATGCCCAAACGTGTTTTGTTCGCAGACTGGAGAGAGCCATTCGGCTTTTGCGGCGATTACGAGGTGCTCTTCCTCATTAGCCCCACATTGCATGTGGCCTGCGTCTTTCCAGCGCTGCGGAATGCCCGAGCTTTTTGCAAGCTGGCGCCAAACAAAAAAATAGAAAAGCCTGCCATCGGAGGAAATATTGTCATATGCGTTCAAGTCTCGCGTACAGAGGAACCCTAACTTCCCTCTGCATTTCGTATTTTTTCCTACCCTGTATTGCAACATGAACGTGATCCACCGAGAGTTATGTGTGTGTGAACTGTGGGAACATATTTAAATGCGCCACGAAAGAGATCCGCTGTAGGACGTAGCTTGTGACATGTAATGTTTGTACCGCGTAAAAGGGTATAGCCAACTTGCGTGTGCTTGATCACCGAGATCATCACTCTCTGCTCGTTTTTGCTTTGGTGCTCCCGCACGCGAACTGACAGGATTTTTGGCAGTCTTTCATTGGTTCTGTCCGTACATGATGCGGCGACCGTCACGTAACACGGCGCGTTACGTATTTTTGTTATTCTAAGGTTGAACATGCCTGCCTAGAAGAGAAATACTGACTTACAAACGCCACGAACCCCATTTTCAACTTATATAAGACAATGGTATTAGCTTTATATATCGGAGAAAACCAGGAGAATAGAGATACATTTGGGTTGATATTTTTGTAACATGCCTTCATCGAGACAATGGCAGAAGTGAATGCAAAATTGCCTGCCGATGATCTTGCTCGATTTTTCAGGTTTTTTTTTTAAACAGCGAGCCACAGCTTTAATAGGAGACCAACATTCAGCGGATTATACAAGGAGAACTTGCCAGCCATAACTAAGACATAGTGCATATCTAACTAAAAATTATGATAAGCGAAAAATGCGTGTACATTTAAACGAATCCAGGTAAACAGGCATCACACATTACGTTTCACTCAGACATGCAAGTGAGTTCAAGGAACAAGCACCACTCATCAACACATCAATTATATACCAATGATTTTAATTAAACAGGCATTGCGCATCACGCGTCAGGCATCACTTCTACATGTAACGATTTAAGCTGGCACAACGTCCATAATCAAGGCACATATCACATCATAAGACCAATATCATAATCGACCATGATGGGCCTCATAAGGTTTCATAGGTGAGGTTTCGTGGGCTTCATAGGTGAGGTTTCGTCGCCGGATTTTTGTAAGAACGGGTTCACTTATTTTCCCGTCTGGGTGGTCCTTTGTTCTATATGTGACTTTGAGCTTTAAGAGCGGCATAGGGTGCATAGGGGCGGGTCCAAAGGAGGTCCAAACGCTTCATATGAGCATCTGCTTTGGAAATCAAACGCATTTTAAACAATCAAAACTGCGCTTACGCATAGCCTGGAAAAACGACAATAAGTCTGTGGTGAAATATTCCGTCTCGAAGCCTAAGTTCCCGGGTGGCAACAGATGTCATTTATGCAGTTCTGGGTTTCAAGGGGTTTGCACGCAAAGAAATGTGATTTGCGAAATCAGGTGTAAGCTGTGTGAAAAACATGGTAGGAACTAGTCTATGTTGGGGAGTTCATGCGCCCTATTCGTTGAGATTAATGAAAACCTGCGAGCGCTTAAATCAAAACAGGGATTACCCCTTTCGATGACCATTTTTTTGGCAAAACCCGCTTGGGCTGAAATCGACGGACGTATGGACTCTATGCCCCTTTTAGAGCTCAAAGGCACTACAGAGCACGGGATCACCCAGACAGGAAAAATAAAGTGAACATATTCTTATAAAAAGTCGACGGCCGAAGTCGTTAACATACCTTGCTCACATGGCCGATTAGTGCGGACCATAGTATGTGTGCGTTTAGTGGTGATGTGTGCCAGCTTAAAATCGCTTACACATGTAAGTGATACCTGACGGGAGTGCCATGCCTGTTTAATTAAAATCGTTTGCCTGCATAATTGATTCGCGATGTGTGATGCCTGTTTGCTTCAACTCGCTTGCATGTTTGAATGAAGCGCGAAGCGTGATGCCTTTTTGCTTGAATTCATTTGCATGTACACGTATGTTCGCGCATTCTAATTCTTAGATAGGGACTGCTCGCGGTAATGGCTGGCAATCGCCCTTTGTTTATTTTCCTGAATGTTAGTGTCCTGTAAAGACTGTGGCTCGCTGTTTTAAAAAAATGACTGAAAATCGAGTAGGATCATCGGCAGGCAATTTTGAATTCACTTCTGCTATTGTTTCGATAAAGGCATGTTGCCGAAACATCAAGCCAACTATATTTCCATTCTCCTGGCTTTTCTACGAGGAATAAGGCTAATACTACTGTCTTATATATGTGAATGATTTCCCTCGCTACTGCACCGAACAACTTAACTATTTTCAACTTGCTTATGCGATAACAGTTTATTGAGTATTATGCTAGGGTCAGGTGCACCGGATAGCTAAATATCTGCAGGTTTCTGAAACATGAGTCATATGACACTCAAGGTTAATTGCTGCATATAATGGCATAGTTTCACCCTTGACCTCATTTTGTGAAAAAGCATGGTGGTTTGAGCTTCTCCATACCGGTATGCAATTGAAGATCACCCTGTTGCCATTCAGGATAAAAATGAATCGATAGGATATCTCCTATATCGGTTGGCAATCGAAATTAAACATTGGCGGGCCACTCACGGCGGTTCGCCGTGAGCCGACCGGCCGGTATCCGGTGACCGCGCGTAATCGGCTCACTGCGTCTGGAACTGAGGTCGTGACCGGCCGGTATCGGTGACCGGACGTGATCGGCTCACGGCGTCTGGAGTTGCGGTCGTAGCCTTGAATCCATGCATGTCAGTTTTAAAGCCAGCCATTTCAACGTTTCCGCGGAATTCTAGAACAACATCTGAATGACTAGTGAGTGTTTATCGACCTCACGTACCTGTCGTCCCTCACGAGTCGTGTAGATGGGGTCGTCGCGCGTCCTGAGTCCTCATAGCGCATCGATAACCTTCATATAACGCTGAGATGGAGCTCAGCAGGAGAAAAAAGGAGCACCTGGTATGAATTCGCACTATTTTTGTTGTAATATGGCTTGAAGCCGGAGCAAATTTGCCTCGCATGCTGGCAGCATGCCTGAAACCGCACACATGGAATTCAATACAGCATGTATCTAATTCGACACGGGCTCCGAGTATACCAGGTCGGGCCTAAGACGGGCTCAGTGAGCGTAGAGCCTCATTCCCGGGAGATCGGAACATGAACACCTGCAGTTTTGCTGCTTTCAGCGAGTGCCTCCAGGGAGTACGCAATAAAAAACCGACGAAAATGGTTGAAGAAGAACAGTACGATTGTTTGTGAGGCTTAGCGGTATGACGGCAAGTGGTGCAAACCATTTGCCATAATCACAAAAAATTGGCTAAGTTTTTAAGTTGTTAAAATTAAACAAACCCATGCCTAACTGAAGAATTGCTTGACTTGCAACACAAAGTAACAAGGGGGGGGGGGTGCGGAAAATCGTAGGCACTTATCTAAGAAGATCTTCGCTGCAAAGGGTGTAGTAGAAATAATATAAAAATCGCATCCGGCTTGATGGAATAAGCCTTGTCAACTGCCGGTTCAAACGCCGATGCAATCCGTCAACGAGTGAGTATAATGCACTCACAGAATCTATGCACACAAGCTCCAGATCAACGGCAGGATCGAGCTCAGCTGCAGAAGTGCAGGTCTGGACCACAAGATTGTTTTCTCGCCATTCAAAAGTATCTCTGCATCTGTGATTCTCGGGTCAAAATTTTAGGGTGCGGTCGGAACAATTGCACAGTCATGTATTTGGCTGGAGAAATGACTTGCCTCAAATCGTGGCAGTCGTTATCCAGTGGAAATATCATAAAGCTTTATCGAGAAGCCAGCAAATCAATTACGTAAGCAATCTAGGTAAAGGGATGAGGAAAGACGTGCGAGGCCCCAGCATTGTATCGTGTGCATTCAAACAATAATCATGGAAGCCCTCTGCAGCCAAAGCATCTCAACCACGGCGGTCATGACACAGTGTCAAGAGGATTTGGGCTCAACAGAGAATGCCCCGTGATCTGCTCATGTCAGAAATGAGATCAAGTTATTACGAAAACCGTTCGTGCGAAATGTGTGGTACCGTACGAAAAACGTACGAAAAGCACACATCCATTCGTATGGTGAGCATTTACTGAGTAGCAGAATAAACTGAATGCAAAATGACAGCAAAATCACTGGTGTGATATAACATATTGAGGACCAAGATTGATAATCTTTACCGTACTTTCCGCCATGCTTTCCCGCGTTTTTTTAACTTGAAGAGTTTACCTTTAGAAACTCGTGCTTTATGCAAAACCATACCCACTAGACGTTTCTTTCAAAACGCCACGGTGCATTGACGCTACTTTGGTATGACATGGCTGCTACTTTATTTTAATTTGCATCGTTGACATATGGATATTTGGACATCTCCGTTCCAATGTAGCAGAACAGACCCCATCATATTCTCTTCCATATGATATGGTTTTGATATATTCGTGCATGGCTTGTTTGGCCAGACTGGTTTTTCGACCGTTTATTATGTGTTAAACCTGCCATATCATGAAAATATAACTCATCCGATCCATCGTGAAACTCTGGTATAAAATTGTTGTAAAGATAGGTCGGCACGTGTCATGTTAGCAACCGATATCAAATCGGATTTGTAAGCCCCAAACCACCGCCGAATTGTTACTCGATGCTCCGAACGTGTCTTCCAGCCGGATGGAGTGGAGAGGGGATCGATATGTCATACGAGGATCAAAAGTCTGGAGGAGAAGAATGAGCTCGAAAAGCGTTAACTTTGATGACTGCAAATAGGTACGTTATCGCAAATGCGTGTGTGTAATTTTTTGGTGTGCACACATTTGTAAGAGAGGTGATATAACGTCCTCTTTTCATACGATGAACCGAACTATGGTGTGTGATTGGAAGAAGTTAGAACAAAATACGGCCTCGTTTTAAATGAATACGATATCTAACATTCTCGGTGTAGGTAAAGAACTTGCATGGACCAAACCTATGTGACAAGGCTAAGGTTAAAGACCTTGAGATGTTTCTATAGAATGCTGCATCGTTTTCATCTTGGCACGCGTGGTCTCCTAGAAACAGCACTGTTTTGACTCATGTCAGTGGCACAGTGATGCCATTGACCTGCATCACCAAGACACCAGATTTATGCTGGATTTAGCCCCTACAAACGAAATACGATTGTAATCAAAGCAATTCGTGAACGAATCATGTTTGAGTTAACCTTAGTACCCAAACTGATTATAATCACAACGCCTGTTGCAAAGTGTGCTGTGCT